TGCAAAAATGTGACCCTGTGCACTCTTGCATATTTGTGCTGTTAAACCATAAGTTAATATTAAATTAATACAGCAAAACGTACATGTACATGCTGTTTACCATGTTTACCTATGTATGTACATACATATGTACTTGTACATTCATGTATATGTATACATGTATATGTAAAATAATATCAACCAAAGTTCGTGGATTCTTTATTGTTGTCCGGTCTCACCCCTGACATACCAGTACCCAAAATGTTTTCACTGTGTTGAATTTTAAATGAACGACACAAACAATATCAAATATAAAACTTGCATCAAGGATGTATATGTAACTACATATACAAGTTCTTACCAGCTTTATGACAGGCTGGTTCAACCTATTTAAGTCATATCTAGCAATGAGTATTGTATTTTAACCACTTCGCGCCGGGGCATTTATAAATGTTGGCGATGCTGGGACGGGACAATTTTCATTATTTTCTGTTTTCAAAATTCTTTAAAGATTCATATCTTCGTTTACTGGACACTTACACCCACATGAAAGACTAGTCTGATTTCCACTCAAATCTGACAGACAACATCTATTGACGCTAGAGTATTTCAGCCAGGCCTGCAGCCTTGTAAAAAGAGCCCAGATTGTGTGGTGTTACATAATTTTCTTTTGTTCACGAACCTGGCGCAGTGTGCTGCTGACCTCTTTTCAATAGGGCCAGATTAGCGTGCAGCGGTATAGTGTGGCTCATCGCTGCATTGGTGGAGCGCTTTTGTCCCCGGTGGTAATCTGCTCGTGCTAAATGCCTCCAAACCGTGGTATACTGTTTCAAAACAAGGCTGGATTATCTCCACTATTGAGAGTAACAAATCTTGGTAATGCCCAGCAGCCTAGTCTTTTGTTACGAGTACGGTCTTTTGTTACAAGGCCCAGTTCCCTTAGTCCGATTTTGGAGACCCCGACCATGCATATAAAGAATATGTGTCCAGTACCAGAAACCCCGGCAGCACGTGGTTAAAGCTTGGAGTAATGTGCAAGTCATAGCATTGCACAAAACAATTTTAGCTTTCTAATGGCAAAACTGACGATAAAGACTCTTTAGCCCAAAGTCAGCGTGTTTAGTTGTAATGCCAGCCAATGTGTATAAAAGCAGATAAACCAGTTTCTTTTATGTATTGTAGTATGAAACTTTCAAGAGTTCAATGCTTTACTGTTTGCTTCTCATAGGAGTCTCTGCTTGCTCGAGACAAGGAGTTAGAGGCATTACAAGAAAAGTGTATTGATGCTGAGTTAAAGGTTAAAGAGCTCCAAAACAGTGCTCTGGAGCAAGAAGGGTCCCTGCAGAGCTACCGGGCTGAGAAGGCAGCCTTGGAAGCCGCCCTGGCCACAGCTAACCAGGAAAAGAGGGCCTTTGACGAGGCTCTCCAAAACCTGAGGCAAGACATGGGGAAGGTTGAGCAGGGCTTCCATCAGATGAAGCAGGACTTAGGCAAGAAGGATACCCAGATGGAGTCCTTGCTGCGGGACAAGGAGGATCTCCAGATGCAGCTGAGAGATGCGGAAGAGCAGCTGCAGCATCATCAGCGGAGCATGAGCACCTTCCAGGAGGACATGAGCAGCAAGGAAGACCTCCTCAACGAACTGAACAGAGTCAAGGATGCCATGGAAGACGAGGTGGCTCTGCTCAGGCAGCTTCTTGAGGCATCCAAGAAGTCCAACCAGGAGTCCCAGGCCGTCAGCGCGGGCCTCCAGGATGAACTTGCCCACAGCCGAGGCGAGCTGAAGGACCTGGAGGCCCAGTTGGAGTCGGCGATGACAGAGAATGCCCACCTTGAGGGCCAGCTGGAAATGATGGCCGACGAGCAGCAGCGCTTCTCCAACCTCCTGGACGAGAATGCCAGGCTGAAGCAGAAGCTGGCTGAGACACAGAGCACCACCCACCGAGAGCTGGCTGATGAGCGGGCCAAGGCTCTGCGCCTGGGGTCAGACCTAGCAGCCACCCAAAAGGAGCTGAAGGAGAAGCAGCGCGTGTACGAGTCGGCAGCAAGCACGTTGACCAAGAAGCTGAAGGAGGCCATGGACGCAAAGCAAGCCGCTGAAGCTGACATCGAAGCCCTGCGGCGGGACGAAGTGGCCAGCAACATAGAAATACAGAATCGCCTGACTGCTCAGCTGGAAACCACCAGGAAAGATCTCTCAGATGCCCAACAAGAGAGGGATGACCTGATGAGGCAGCTGGAAGAGCTCAAACAGCAAATGGAAGAGGAAACAACAGCTTACAAGGAGAAAATGGCAGACCTGGAAAACCAACTGCAGGTACAGTGATCACTGTTACAACAATTTGGTGGCAAGCTTTAATTTTACCATGTAGAACTTTAAGAAGATGTGATGTGTAGTATGTACTCATTATAAAGAAAATCATTGAAGGTATGCACGAACCTTGTTTCTATGGGTATACAATTAAAGTTTGGTAATTGATTGCTCAAGAGGGTAAACCTAGAAAGTCCTTGCTACGTTTCTGCAAAGGCCGCACTTTTATGATTAAATTCTCTGTGATAGTTCTGTTGCAAACTGTCAAACAAAACATGACAAATGCGTGTTATCATCCATGCCTGATGTGATTTCATTCTTTTCATTGCAGGCCCTTAAGGAGTTATGTGAGCAACAACAACGAAATGAAGAGGCCAATCGTAGGATGGCCCTGGATCTAGAAAGAGAAAGAGGCCGACTGGCAGGTCAGTGGAAACATTCTACATGTATGTTTTTGAAATTGGAGCTGTAACTCATGCCTTTTGTAAGTAATGTTTTGAGTACATCGTTATTTCTGAAGCCTTTTGGCAGATTTGTAATCAAGCAAACGAGTCAGTCACTTTTCAAATGGCAACATGATGAAGAATGGAATGGAATTCCTTCACTTTAGTTCACTTGAATACCTTGATGGTTGAGACTCCAATTGGGATTGACTTGTGGTGAATCCATTGCAATGTAGCCCATTTTGTTGTAATACTCAAAAAGAGAAGCTTGCATCAATCTTTGGTTGTTGACATGCAGGTGTTCAACAGAGTCACTCCGCCTTGAAGCAGCATGCCAACCTCTTGGAGGCAGCCCTGGGCCGGCGGGAGACCACGTTGGCTGAAATGGCTGCCCAGATGACCACCAACAGCCAAGACTGTGCGGCTGAGCTAGACCGTCTCCGAGCCAAGCTTCGGGATGAAACCCAGGCTCTGAGGAAAGAGAAAGAAGCCAACAAAGGGCTTCAGAAGCAGGTAGGCAGTCTATAGATGCTCACTTGGAGATGAGTGGTTGTGATGTCTGTGCACATTTGATTGATTAGGCAAGAGAACCTCCTTTGGACTGAATTTTAACCAACTGGCAGTCATGTATTATACAGGCCTTCAGTGGTAAACTCAATAACGTTAAGGAAAAAGTGATGCACTGTCAACATGTTTGCATGCCATCCCCGCATAGTGTTTGGATTTGTTAGGCCTGTAGACCTGAGTTGGTTCGTCATAATTGTGTGCGTTTGCCGTACATTCATTGATCCAAGGCCTCCAGATCTAAAAGAAAAGCATATTTGCTAGGTCTGAATCACTCACAGACACACTTTCTGCAAATTCCATGGAGGTCATCTAAACTTGATCAGCTGATATGGTCAGCTGACGTAGTATAATCGTCAAACTATCAACTGCCTCAAGCAGCTTTTCCCTCAAAATGTTACAATTTCTACAATCCACTCTTACTAGTTAGAATGTGGAGTCACATACAATTTGCATGCTCATGTATATCGAATGTTGTTTTGGAGTCACAGGTTCTGTTGAACAACAGATGGCATTCAGATTAGCAGGAAGGCTGTTTTGTGGCATTTTTTGCCTTGCATTGTTAAGCTGTTGATGAGCTACCTTAATCCTAACTCTCTGTTTCCTTCACTATCCACCTGGATGTTTTGGATGAATTCTCATGAGTAAGGAATTTTTCATGACTTGCTGGATTTGATGTTGCAGGTTGCTCATGGGAAAGCTGAGATTGGTAGACTACAATGTGACATCCAGGATCAGGGAACAGTGTTGGAAGAAACAAGGATGTTACAAGACAAACAGGCTGACAAGCTGCAGACACTGCGGGAAGAACTCAATAAGAGTATACAGGTGAAATATAGTCACTATGGTAGGAACTCGGTGTGAGTATACAGGTGAGATATAGTGACTACAGTAGGAACTCAATAAGAGTATACAGGTGAAATATAGTCACTATGGTAGGAACTTGGTGTGAGTATACAGGTGAGATATAGTGACCACAGTAGGAACTCAATATGAGTATACAGGTGAGATATATTGACCACAGTAGGAACTCAATAAGAGTATACAGGTGAGATATAGTCACTATGGTAGGAACTTGGTGTGAGTATACAGGTGAGATATAGTGACCACAGTAGGAACTCAATATGAGTATACAGGTGAGATATAGTGACCACAGTAGGAACTCAGTGTGAGTATACAGGTGAGATATAGTCTCCACAGTAGGCACTCAATGTGAGTATACGGGTGAGATATAGTCACCACAGTAGGAACTCAGTATGAGTATACAGGTGAGATATAGTCACTGCAGTAGGAATTCCATGTGAGTATTCAGGTGAGATATATGCAGTAGGAACCAGCTGGAAGTTGTCAGGTGCAAGTTTGCTAAAGTTACTGTGGAACTCAGCTGTAGTTAGGTTTATTCACTTCAATGTAAGTTTTTCAATCACAAATGAAATAGTTCCATATCTCAAAAAGAATTTAGCATTACTTTTTCTGTTCTTTTGTTGAGTTTTGTTTGTAGATCAACCACACAACCTGGAAAAAGTCTTTGCAATTTCAATTCTCAAGAATAAGTCAAGACAGAATATGTACATTTTCATGCCTGTAATGTATGAAATGGCATTTTGTGAAATGAAAGAAATATTGCTATCAATAGCATGAGGAAGAACAGAAAGCTAAGACTGAGGAGGTCAGAGGTCAGCTTGAAGAGGCCAAAGGTCAACTTGGACAATTGAAGAGGCAACTTCTGGAGAAGCACTCCAGAGATCCTGTCGTAGCTGAACAAATCAAGGCAAGTACTGATGAGAAATATGAATTCTTGACAGTCCTCAATTAGTTTAATTTCCCTCTCTGTTGACATTGTCTGTGGCACTTGTTGACGCCTAGTGTGGTGTTGATGTGATTTAACAATGAGCGCTCACTGTAACCGTGTAGAGCTATTCTCTACCAGCAGTGTAGCCTGTCGTCAGATTTTATATGAAGTTCGTACGCTGCCTGACTGTTTTGAGCTAGATCGACAAACACAAACATCTGAGAACTAACTGTAGCAAAATTTCCAAAATTCTTAGCAGTTTCTTCTGCTCAAGCAGCTATCAAACTCAGTCTAGGTGGATAGTTCCACTTGTACAAACCATTTCACCTTAAAACTGAAAGAAAAGATTGTAACATAAGGTCAGTGGAACACAAAAGGTGTACTTTGAGGATTCTGGTAAAAGATTACATTGCATGACCTCTAACCCGTAACAGTCACACTGCCTCTCAACATGAAAGCAAAGGATTCACAGTTACAGAGATCCCCTGGAGGTATGATGAGTGATATTTACTCAGCCAAAGTAAGGGATCGGTCATTGATGTTGAGGGTATCATTCTTGGCAGGCCCTGGAATGGGAGAGTGAGCAGAGAGGGCGTGAAGCCCAAGCCGTGAAAGAGCAACTGGAGCTAGCTGAGCACAGACAGAAGATAGAGATGGACAACGCCCAGGCTACCATACAGGTACAACGCTGTTGTAGGGAAGACTTTATACTGCACGGCTCTCTGTGCAGTTCTGTTATAGTCTTGCAAAACTTGGAATATTTGCATAGCATTTGTAATGATCAGTGTGGGGAATGTTCAGCATTGTTAACATATTCTCAGTGTGCCCTGAATGGGCATAGCTGTTGTTGTAATGGAATGTTTTAATGTACCCTTTGCAAGATGCTAGATGGCGCTGTTGAACCAATCATACAAGAACTCCCTTGTTGGGACTGGTTGGCACACATGCTTTAAAGCACACACAAGGACCTGAAAGTAAACAGTGTTTTTATGTCAGACCTCACATCAAACTTCAAGTACCAAGGTATTTGAAGCAGGAGGCAGCCATACCCACCAATGCTCGAACTCTTAGCCAGAAGCCTAGTTAAAGTTAAAATTTGTTGACAGAGTAGTTTTTCATGCTAAAAGAGCTGGGGGTGGTAGAATCCGTCCCCTAGTACACTTTCTTTAATATGGTTGCTTTGCTGTTTTTTAAATTGTCTTGCTGATGAGCATTTGTGAGTTTTCGACTGATGTGTTGCTGTCATTTTGACTCCAATTTAATGAAAATTGGACATACAGTTCATGCAAAATACTCATTCATCCAATGCAGGTTGGTCAAAAATGGCAAATCTTCCTACTGACGTACATCATGCATACTGGCCTATAGGTGTTAGAGTATGAATTGAAATGATTATAAAAATAAAACCCTATGTTCAATTTAATTGAAACTTTTTGGATGTACATTATACAATGGATGGCTTTTCATGCATGCTAAGTTTCATGATCATTGGACCTTCAGGGTTCCTTTTATAGGAAGATGGAATTCCTCCCACCTCTAGTTTGAAAAAGTTGGAAGAAACTTGGCTATTGTAGCATTAAATTCCTACTCTCTAATAAATATATGTAAGTATAAAATGTTGAACTCTATGTTGTAAATAACTTGTGGTTTGCACTTTATTTTTTCAGTCTTTTTCAGTGGCCTTTTTGAATTTCAGTATAAAGATCTGGCCTGTTATTATGTTTCAGATGGGAAGAAAAGAGCTCGAGGCACTGAAGGCAGAGTTGGCTGCTACACGCAAGGAGAAGTTTGCTTATCAAGGAAAACTGAGTCAGTTCAAGTCAGCGCTGAAGGCCACGCTGCAACAAAACAAGGTGGGTGTTGTCCTGGAAGCTCACTAGTTTGTGTCAAATGATGACAGTTGTGTGCCACATCAGTTCTGTTGACTTCGTACAGGAATAGTTGTAATAGGAAAGTCGTAATGTCTGTTTTCTGACCTCCAGCTTCTGAAGGCCAAGTTGAGATCACGACAGAAGGACAGAAATACTGCAGCTAGCCCCAAGATGGCCGCTGGACCGGTTGCTAGCAGCGACGTTACCATGGTACCCGATGACATCATAGTGCCTGAAATCAGCGTGGACGTGGAGGCGTTGCTGAGTAGTGATGACAAGGATGGAATAACCGCAGCCAGTAGCAAGTAAGAATTGGACTGGATGTTGTTTTGCTTGGCACCAGTCGTACCTTCTGTGCATGCTGATTGGTGAACGATCATGTACATATATATGGATGGCTTTGCCACTTGGTGCACATTTACATATTTGATGAGATGACCTCATGCCAGAGGTCATCAGGACAACCATGTACTGACTATTCTCAGACTGTATTTCGGATGCAGGCTGTCACCACACGTGGGATCTGTGTGTTTGCCTGCATCCTGTTTCTTTGATCTCTAGAACTCTGAAGCTTGCTATGAGATAATGTAGAAAACACCATACATAATGGGCAGACTTACAATTTTCTGGGGGATGATTGCTCCATCTGTTCCCTTGTATATCTACCTGCAGACCCCTGGCAGCACTACGAGGCTGTTTGCAATCAGTCAAGGATCAGATGGGAGGACTACAGCAACAGATGGATAAGCACACCTCGGCTGTCAACTCCTCCTCCAAAGCATGGAAGTAAGCTCACCAATCCATAAGCCTGTTGCTTTATTTTGTGTGAGCCAGTTTGCTATCTCAGCTGAGTATTTGCATGTCAAGATTTGAGGGTTAGGATAATCACTCCAAACGAAAGTTCATAAGTCTCATGGCAGAGATGACTGAGTCTGAAATCCTTTCGTCTCATCTGCTATCAAATTTGTTCACCCAGTCAAAAATATTAAAGATTGAGGTGTAGTTCACATGTAAGATGGTACATAAAAACATATTGCAAACTGGTATTCTCAAAAGTTTTTGGACATTGAGTACCTCATCTTTAATTTCATTGGTACCCTCAGTGATTTGAAATGTTCACAGTGCACAGTTTCCCAAGAGGCAAATCATCAAATGATAACGTACGCATTGGTAATTGGAATACTACTGATGGATGATTCAGGCTGTTGGAATGAAATGAAGTCTTTCCTAATGATTTTCAAATGAAATAAAGTCTTTAATCCTAATGAAGTTTAAAGAAAATAATGCTGTCTTATCGATCTGTTAATAAATTGGTATGCATTCTGGGGACTGTTTGTCTGGGCACCATACCTTGGATAATTTACTGAAAACAGCTTTTTTGTTCTTTGAACTGTCCATCTGTACAACCGACAATTCCAATCAGTCAGTTTGTTGAGATTGCTGCTGTGAATTATCCATTCCCCTTAGACAATTTTTTTAAGGTAACCAGTTTCACGCTGGTCAGGGGTAAGAGTATGTTTTCATATTTTGCTGTGTGCAGTGCATTTGTTTTATTGCCAATGTCACTGTCTTCACAGGGACGTTGAGTCGAAAGTTCGTGACCTGCGCAAGTCATGCATGACCCCACTCGATGGTTCATCCACTCCACCCAGCAAAACCTCAAGGCGTTCATCGCCAGCCGCCCCCCCAGACACGCCCTTGGCCACACCCAAGATGCCTCAGGCCACGCCTGCAAACAACTTGCCACGACCAACTCCGGCATCGATGACCTTTCCCAGCTTGCCAAACGTCCATGACATTTAACCCTTGAACTCTGACATCATGTAAATGATGCAGCCAGTGCCAGTAAGTGGATTTTGTCATGTTCATGTTTTTAAACATTCTAAACGCCAAGATTGTAAACACTTGATGTCATTTTATGTTGCAGTTCTGGAAGCTAATATGGTGTGCATGTACAGTACTTTTAAGTTGTCACATTTAGCAAATTATTACCAGGATTCAAGCCCATGACATTGTACCCAGAATCCCTTTATGTGTTAGGTTACTAATGCACTATCAAGGGATATTATTCTTTCCTTCCAATAATATTGCTTTCTGCTAAAGATTGTAGTATTTACAGTGGAACGCCGTTATAACGAACAAGATGGGGTCCACGCTAAATGTTTGGTACAGCGGTCGTTCGGTATAGCGAATTTAACTGCCGAACGTTTCGTTTCCATGTTAAATAGCGCCCTCTCTTGTCTAACCGAAGTGCACCCTCTTGTGATACCTTGGTTCGCTGTTTTCATGATGTTTTGCCATTGCATTCAAGTTTAAGGTTTCTAGACATATATCTGTCGCGGGGTCTATCCCAGATTAGGGAAACCCCGATGATGTAATTCTCTACCGGTTCGATCAACTCAACAAAATAAAAAAAACAATAGTCATTCAAGATTTAGGTTAATGTACAGTTCGAATTAAACGGGAACTTTAATTCTGGTCACTCGCACGATCTTCAAATGGAAATTGAAGTGGAGAAATATGAATCAGAAATGCAATCAATGACAAAACACACAAATGAAAATACACAGAATTTACAATGATTTATATAAGAAAAATATAAAAAAAGGATAGGATGATAGCGGCTGCGTCTCCTACGGTCTCGTCTGGGTCTTGCTTCCGCTTGGACTATGACCACGCTCAGTTACGTCCGCAACACGTGATCAGAAAGTCCACAACAGACGAAAAGTTCAAAGTTCTTGAATGTATCGAAGCGAATGAGGATCCCGGGGACGTCCAAGGAACGTACCAGTAGGCGGCAAAGGGAAACTTCAGGGAAAACAGCAACCGTCGGGAAGAGGGTGAAATCACTGCCACGGGGGATCAGAGCAGTGATCAACACAACGCAACAGCTCTAAAAGGGGTCGCCAGGTCTCACCTCGGCAATCGGCAGGGGGACCTGTGCCAGAGAAATGATGGGTACAGCAAAATAATGCAAATTCGACAGCGACGATTCCAATCCAACAACGGAGAGCGGTGTGCTCTACCCCAGGCAAGGAGTGGAATGCCGTTCCCGCACTCGACCAACCCATATCACTCCTGGCCAGGCTGTTGCCCCCCACATTGTTTTAGATAACACACAGGACCATGCCTGACACAAGGCAACACCAAGATGGATGTCTTGGGAAATTTGAGGAGACAGACTGACCTCCCCTACAAAAATAGACTTACACTAGTCATTCACAAATTAGCAAAAAAACAAAACATGGCAAATTTGGGGGGGTATGACATATCTGTTAATTATTTTTGTTTTTTATTTAAACTTGAGTCAAAAAAATTGATATCAAGTTTATCCTAAAAGTCGTAAAACTACCACTCAGGATCGAACTCAGATGCATGCTGTGGTAAATCTAGGTTAATTTTTGTATCAGCGGCGCTCTCTTTAGACTATTGTTAGTGCAATGCCGTCGTGCGCGTACCTGCGTTTTTCTTCCGCAACCGATCATGTGCAGTCACAAAACCAGCATCTATTCAATACCATTGACAACTAGTGGCTTTCCCTTCTATTCCATGGGGAAATAATGGCCACTTGTCACTTTCCAACATAATAAAACCACAGACTGCTGTATCATGTTGACGTTCGGGAATTACAAACAGCAACTGAATAGTGTTCGGAAGGTTATGTGCACAAATTATTGGGAGCCAAGGACGATGTTCGGTACAGCCAAATGTTCGGTATAGTGGCGTTCCACTGTATTGGAAAACTGTATTGTGAATCTTTTATCAGACTGGTGACTGACATTTTGCCTCTAAAAGTAGTGTTGTGTCAGAAAACATTTCATAAATTTAGTGGGGAAAAATCAGAGTGAAAAAAAAAAGCTGTGCAGTGTGTTTGTTCTCCTGTTATCCCTTTGTCTGAAGTGTCGTTTAAGTTCTGTGCATTCAATGGCCATCATTTTATCTGTCTTAAGGTCATTTTACGTTTTAAGTGAGGTAAGGCATACTTTTATTTTTGTAGTGTCTTTGATACCGTAACACAAATAAGCATGTCCAGTTTTGTTTTACGTGATCTTTTAACATATAGGCCCTCTGTATACGAATACTAATAAAGATGTAATCTTGACTTGTAGGGAAATCATCATTATTTAAAAAAGAAGATAAGCTCTGCTGCGACAGAAAGATTAACTAGTATTATATGAGTTCAACTATTCAAAGGTCTTTGCATGTTGTAATTTAGTGATACGTTACATTATGTTAATGGTGCTGGAACCATCAATAGCTGCATATTAAGATATGATATATTGTACATATCCACCTCAACAGAAATATCATCCAGTATTTGTACATGCTTTGCATACCAGTAGGTCTCTCTCAAAATGTAGGTTTGAGACAGTATCAACCTTCATTGTAAACTCTGAAATATTGGGTGGAGAATAATCTCCATTCTTGGCATTGTAAAAAATGAGAAATTTGTATATAGATTCAAAATACCTTTCCAGTGGCTGTTTTTATATTGTCTCTTCCTAAAACCAAACAAACTTGTCTCTTTGGCCTACCCCGATTATTTCATTGTGTGCCTCATAAATATCAAAATTATGTTTCTTGTCCTGGCAATAACATTGTTGCAGGTTTAAGATATAATAACAGGTGCTTTATTAATCCTTAGCTAGCTGGATATGCCTAGATAAATCCTCAGATGTACTTAGTTTGATTTGGGTGGTTGTATCAAGTATTATCATTAACTGACTCTTCATGTTAGATTTCATTAGGCTCAGCAGGACTGACAAATTGCTGGTCGTGGAGTTTGTTAGTCAACAGAGTTAGGATACTTGAAGGTGCCTTAACTAGAACTCCCTTGAAATTCATGAGAGGAAACTTCCTCAATCCCTACTAAATCCTTCACTGTGGAAGAAACCGATAAAACAGTCCTAGTACTTGATTCTTTATTCTGAGCTCTATCTTCCACAAATCCATAGATCCACTAAAGCAGACAGGTTTCCCACTACATGTACATGTAGGCTCAAAGATCAGGAAGGTTCAGGTTTAACACTGAAATACATCAATCAGTCTTCGCCACCTTGACATTATTTACAGGTTGGCAATTTAAATATGTGAATTTAGAAATAACTTTCCAGCATTTATTGTATATTTTCTTACAGCGCTCACAGGTAAATCATAGAAGATGAGAAATGAGGTAGACAGCTTCATTGGAAAAAATTATCTAGGGAGTTAGGATAATGTTTTCTGCTGGAGTTGGCAAAAATCAATATTTGGTTTAGGAACAGGAGTGAGGTTTTTATAACACTGATAAAATGACAAATTTGATGCATTGAAAACGTTTGGCACATGATTAGTTCTCCCGTTGCTTTAGTTCAATGGAACTACTGCTTTGCATTTTTTTTTTTGGTGAAAACCAAAAATGAGCAGGGAACCAGTGATGAGCAGTATGTGTCCAATGCGTCACATTGCCTGGAAAACTACTCGTGCATAGGAGATACTCCCTTTGCTTAGCATACTCGTTTACTTGGTATCTGTATTCAGATTGACCCTGGACTTTTTGCTTAGCTCATTAATCCATTGAGCAGTTGTCTCTCTGGCACAGTATCTGAGCTAACCATAAAGGCTTACGTACACAACATAAAAACGCTGAACACTTTGGGACATGTTACTTTAGTCACAGATCAGAGATATTGGAAACAATTCTTTGCTGGCATGGTCATTGAAAAGTCACTTAACTCTCATGTGGTTGCCATAGAATCCATTGCCATGGTGATTTGAAATCACACTGAGTGCTTTGCGTGCGTTATTGGTGGCGAAAAATAAATCTAGCTAAGTGCCTTTCAGTGAAAGAGTCACATTTAATTATTGATACATTGACCTGCTGCCAACGGACTGGTTTAAATGGGTCTACCCATGTTTTTGCACCAACCCTTGAAAATGGGGACAAAATAATCATACTGAAGTGGCGCGTACATGTACATGGAAATGCTTGTATACTTGATTCTGTTTCAGTGAATTCCATTGCAACTGAGCAAGATCAGTCAGTGACTAAATTTGAATCTTCAGAACTTGATTGTGCTAGATTGGTCAGCTTCATTTTGATCGCTGTTTCAATGCGCTAGTACTTGAACCTGTAACTCACAGTGCCAGATGGTGTGGGTTCATATCCAACTCCAGTCAGTTTGTGTTCTCTTTTACATCTTTGCCGTCATTCAAGCACAGGATGATGTATTTGATATTTCAGAAATTGTTACCAGAAACCTGCACTTTGTGCATTATTATGTGTGGAACAAAACACCCGGGAGAACACTTTGCCGGAAATCCACCATAAATCTTGTCTTCCAGCGTGTAACAATTGTAAAAATTATGAAAGATTGGAAAACTGGACGTGGACATAATGTTGGTAGGTTTACAAATGCAATGTCATTGATAGAATTGAATGTAATGGCTTAAAAGTTACGTGAAAGCAATAATTAAATTATTTAATAAGCATGTGACTTATCCAACTGTATTTGTTTAATTTATCTCATGTAGTAATCAATATTCATTCCACTTATTGCTTGATGCAAGAGATATTTAATAATTAGATTTTTGTTATACTGTGAACTCTAAAGGTTTCGTACAACCAAAGCATAATCATAATGCATATAATTACTTGGATTTGCTAGAATTTGGAATTTTATGGCACTCCAGGTCATCATACTTGTGCTCTTCTTAATACCTAAATAATGTTCTTTTCTTTTAAAAAACCTACAGGGTACATAAGTTGCAATGCTTTATTTTGGATTAAATCAAAAAGAAGTAATGGGAATGTATAGTCTAGTGACATGGTCTTACTTAATTAAAATGTAGCCCCTGTTGTAGACAGTCAAAACTGCACTGAAATACATGTACATGTACGTGTTTATTTTGCTGTTATCGGGTCTATTAGCTTTTCAGTCACATACTGGTCTTTAACAAGCTGTATCCAGTTAATCAAGATATCAAATGCCAGTGAATAGCATATGGGTTTGTATGCTATGACAGTGCGTTTGGTTTAAATCTTGATGTTGCTAATTTGGATATTAATTTCTGCAGCTTAGGGAATAGGGGGTTTTCAACAATGGTTGGGTGGGATCTTGGTGCTTGTGCTCTTGAGCAAGCCATTTTATCACATTCACCTTTCTTTCTAAGACATAATTGGTTCTTGAAGTTAGAGATCAAAGTTTACAAAGCTGCTTTTTATCCCAAGGAAGCTAGT